ATGCAAGCTGCATTTCTTTCTGTGCATTGACAATAAAGTTGGATCTAATCTATAGAAAAAGAAAGAAAGAAACACACGTGCAACTTTAACCCCCTTCCGTGTATTCCCGTTTCCAGAGTTCATTCTAAAAGTGAGAAACAATTCCTGTAATGTCCGCGCTCCGGAGGTCAGACTCCCTGTGTGGTATCGGATAAAAGAGCAACCGAAATAGCACCGGACTCCCATGAAAGCACCATGTGCCACCGGGTCCCTTTCACCCCTGGGTGCACCTGAGTTGTTTTTACCCCCCCTCCCCAGCTTCAGATATGCTGTGAATTTGTCACTTATCAGGGGGGCTGAGCTGCCAAAGGCCATTTTAGGCGCAATAACTTTCCCGGATGGATTTAGCCTGCCAACTTTGCGCGTCTCTCAGCAGCTCAGAGATGCCTGTTGCTTCCCAGAAAATGTCTCCCGCGCCTGCTAATGAAGACTAATTAAAACATGACAAACATCGACCTTTAGTGCATCCTAAACAGGGCTGCAAGCATGACTGGGATTATGCAAATGAAGGCTGCTTTCTTTGACAATATGTGAGCAGGTGATTTATCTTATATGTGTGTGCGTGTGCATGAAAACAGCTCTGCTTCTTTAAATATGGCGCACATCTGTCTGCACAACAGGTGTCTGAACTGTGAGTTATAAGGGTACAGATTATTCTAAAAAACGTGTTTATTTTTCACATTCTGGCATCTTGTACTACGTTTTTATTCAGATGTTTTTCTTATTCCTTCAGCCTTCTGTCACCATTTTGTCCTTTGCACTGTTTTATTGCACGATTTCCTTTTGTTTGAAGTGTGTTGCATTGTTGGAGGACACTCGTCATATAAATCATATTTAAAGCTGCAGGTAAATCAGTAGAATCCACACTATCAGAGCTCTCCCTCGTATGTCCTTATTTATTTAATGTATTAAGGAAAAGGCTATGATATTAACTTGCTCTGCACCTTTTTTTGCAAAGAAATGTTGACTTCCTGTCTCTCGGGGTATCACGTTAGCTATTATTATTATCATTACGCTGGTCGGTTTAGGGAGTCAGATGTGAGCTGAGCTGCAGCAAGTGTGTTTTAATTTACACTGGGAAGGATTTGTTTGGATGGCATGCATAATTTTCCATCACATGAGGTTTAGCCTGTCATTCTGTTGTTGTCCTGCGGAGGAGGAAGAGGAGGAAGGAGAAGAGGAATGGCACACAAGGCTAAATCCCACTGTGACGTTGTTCCAACATGATTCTGTGTCTCTGATTTTACTTTTGATTTACTGCAAGACAACCTGTTTTATTGTTCTGAAATCCTCTCCTTAAATGAAGAGTGGGGGGATAATAAGACCCTCCGATGGGAGCATGTGCAGAGCAGCCTGCCATTTGAATGATCACAGTAGTAATTTGAGCTAAAATGGAGTCCAATGTTCTCCCCCCCCATGGCATAATAATTCATTATTCCTGGCCTACAGTGGGAGAGGCACTGATCGAGGTTAGAGGACAGGAGTGGACCTCAGCTCTGGTGTAATGAAGACTCAGTAGACCCTAAACACACACTCCCACACACACATAATCTTTCATTATACATCTCGCAGGGCAGCACATTAATGCGGCGGAAGACCTTTTATATTTTTTGGGCCGAGAAAGAAGAGAGTGCAATGATTTCCTCCACTCGATCCATTTCATTGACCTTTTCTATCATGCATTTGACTCGCTGCAGCGCCGGATACATATTCCAGGAATAATCTCCCTGCCTGCCAATGTTTAATAAATCATCTTTTGGAAATCTGAATTTTTATGTTCTGGTGCATTTAAGGAGAAATCTGGTGTGAAGTTCTCTCTCTTTTGTATTCAACATGTATTCATGTGTTGTCCGAATTCTCCTGAGTTCATACATGTAATTTTGTATGGAATAAATTGATGAATAAAACCTTTTGCAAGACCTCTCCTGTTTCCCGTGCCTCCACTAGGGGTCCATGGAGGTCATGGTGTTAATGTCCAGACAGAGTAAGAGGATAAACACTGTCATCTGGTGGCAACAAAAGCCATCACTCCTCACTGAGCTCTACCTGCTGCACTTACCTCTCCTCAATGCTCTTGTTTTTAACTTCCACCTGCATGCATGCAACTCTGAGACTTTTAAATGTGTGTGACAGGCAAAGAGAGGAGGAAGAGGGGGAATGGCGTCTTCACCCAGAAACTGAAGAGACCCCGAGGTGAGGAGAACACACACGTTTATAAAAAGTCATTTACTGTGAGGTTTTAAACACTTACACACTCTGAGTTTACACACTCTGAGTTTGCAGAGGATGAAGGTGATGAAGGTGTTGCACAACTTTAAACAAAAAAGGAAATTAAATGTGGTCTGCTTTTTATTTGATGGGACCTGTAGGTTCTGTAACACCTTTCTTGATCCGTACTTTCTATTCTAATCCGCTGTGCCACCTTTCATTTCAGCAGTGGTGGAAAGAAAATAAGTACATTTANATGAGTTCCAGTTTCTCGAGCATGAGGGTGAGTGAGATAGTGTGCAGTGACAAGAGAGTGACAGAATGAGTCGGTGCTGCTGGTGACGGTGTGTGAGGCAGAGATAGTGACATGGTGACTGTGTGAGTGAGAGATTGACAACAAGACAGGACAAGATAGCCAGAAAGAGAGAGAGAAGGAGAAAAATACATAGAGTGTGGAAAAGAGTGGGGGTCTCAGGCTTGGGGAGTTACAGACTGCAAGTAATTGGATTATGTAATCATGAAAAAGGTAACTATATTCCCTTACTGTTAGGGAATCATTTGGTTAGGTATTCAACCTTCGACACAGTTAATCATTTTCTCTTCTCACTGTCTCCTTTCCCGTGGCATAGGTCTACAGCCTTGGGTATTGCTGCTATCTCTCTTAAGGAGGGGCAGCTTGGGCACATTGTTGCTGCCAGTCTATGAGAGAAAACTAACCGCCATGAGGTAGTTTACTGATCAGGGACGAAGGTTCCCTGGCACACATTCTTTCCTATGGACGAGAGTCTTAGATTCAGGGTCCATAATGTTTAGCCTGGCTGATGAAGAATGTTGATTATTACACTCTGAACTAGTTAAAACCTCGAGCTGCAGAAAGAGTTCTTCAGAATTGGTTTGGCAACCGCTGTGTCAACTCGTGACACACCACCTGTCTCGTCAATTCTCCGGCCGTAACTCCAAATAAACCGTCAGTGTTTGCCATCAGAGCTCCAGCTCTCCTCGTGTCTCTNGGCAAGATACTGAACCCTGAGTTGCTCCCGATGGCCAACGGTGTGTGAGTGTTAGGTCCTAGAGTAAGGTACACTGCTCTGTGTGAACGACATGTAGAATGTAAAGTGCTTTGAGGGGTCTTAAAGACTGGATAAAGCGTACAGTCCATTTGACCATTTACCTGTAGTGTATTCTTTACGTTTCTGTGCATGTAAATGGTCTGCAAAGGCTAAAAATCTCCCTAAATTGTGTCTTCGCGTGTGAACAGCATGTCATTCCCAGCTAAATCAATAATGAATGCACTTGTGTGGCAACAGCTTACAGTAAGAGAGCCCCCTTTCTTTTTTGGACATGATGTGACATCAAAACAAACTCCAGTGGGAAAACCAAAATACACGATTTCCCATAACCAGGCTTCCCTTACAGTTGCATTAAAAAAAAAATCTGACTAGCGTTAAATTGGGGATGTATTCAACTAAAACTGAGCATTGTCTGCTGGCTCAGATTTGATTTGTCTTTTTAACTGTAGTATGTGCTCGTGGTGTCTAGGCTACTGCCTGAATGCTTCATGATATAAGGACTTTTAGCAGAGGACACATTTTGATATGTTTCCTGGCAGACAACAAATGAATAGGCTCAATAACAGCTATTCCAGAGACAAAATGGAAACACAATGTAACTGCGAGGAGATGGAACTGATGTTCAGATCAATACATCAGATGGGTCTGTCTCCTGGCCTTGGAGGAAGGACGTAGAGAGGGGGGGTGTACGAGGAGGGGGGGGTTATTTTGGCAATAAGGAGGCGCTCTAATGGAGTCTTTCAGTTTGCCGTGGCTGGAAATGAAAGGAGGCTGAAGCCCGGCCAATTATTGTGCCTGAGAAGAGGACGAGGGGGAGTGAAAGAGGAAGAAGAGGAAGAAGAAGTGGCGTGTGGCGCCGGATCGTTGGCCTGTCAGAGAGAGAGATAAATAGAGAGAGGGGCTTCCAGAACGAGGGGTTTCCATTCAGAATAGCCCACAGATATTGGCCCCACTCCCAGAAATGTCCCTCCCCAGAGCAAAAGGTTAACTGTCAGTCCCCCGCTAGGTATATATAGAAGTCTGCCCTCCAGAAAGGCGTGTTTTCGGAGGGGAGGGGGAGAGCTAGTGACACACAGGGGGTGGGTTTTATTCGGGGAGGGGGGAGAAGATGCAGCCGAAGACATTATAATGGCTCCGGAGACTGACAGAGGCCACGGACAAAAGAGTGTCCTCATCTATTCAATTTGGGCCTGACAGCAGACACAACAAACAGCCCAGAGACCCCCGGTGCAACGGACCCCCAGACGAAAAAAACAAACCCAAAGCCATTGTGTTCCTGACGCTGCGGAGACGTGTAATTAGGGTAAAAATAAAAGGTCTGTATCGTGATGTAATCTAGTATTAAAGAGGCCATATTCAGCTTTTTCCTGTAGGGTGTTGTTGTGCATGTAAACATAACATAATGACGTCCCTATGGAACACCCGCGCTCCTATTGGCTACTGCCCCAACACATTGTACATGATAGGTTAAGGGGCGGGATATCTGTTAGTGTTTGACCAATCACAACAGAGCCGTCCAGAGCAGACTGGGCTCTGGTTTCAGACAGAGGGTGAAAACAGCACAGGCAGTATGAGAAAAATAAAGAGCTTTTTGAAAATTAAAGCACGGAGACATGTCACAGTAGAGACACTTACAATTCGAAGGATATGTCCTCTTTAATTGAAGAATGACTAAACAGCAGATCTCCTTATGAGGTGTTTTTATTTTTCACTTAAATCCATGGTAGCAAAAAATGATACACCGCTGAAATATCAGACACACAAACGCTTAAAACATCCAAAAAGGTGCTTCACCACCTCCAAAAATAAAGCTTCCTCTCCAGAATAACACACCTGAATGTGAGCAGATCGAAGTGATCCGCCACAAAATGTTTAAAAAAATATGGTTTCCTTCTATGATGAGAATTGTTTTGACACAATATATTGTTTCCTCTCTTGTGAGAGTCATTGGTTTTGACTCTGAAGGCATAGTCTGACACTAACCTCTCAAACAGATGTTATTGTTTTAGGTATCCACACTGCATATACTTGTCAGAAATAATAAATAAATGGGCTCATGAATACTCTGATTGCACTTAATCCTTGCTAACTAACATACTGTAGGTCTAGTGTGGCAGTAATACCTGTCTCACAAGGAAAGCCATTTTACATTAGCAATAATGTCGTGTTTGTACAAATGATGAAACTAAAATGGTTATAGTGACAAAAGCACTACGTTCTATAATACACAGGCAATCACAGACTGCAAATCTTAATGTCTTCTTCATCGCCGTATGTTCCCAAAACTAAAATCACCGGAGAGCGGTTTAAACCGGTTTACCCGTGGCAAAAGTACTTTCCTCCTGGTACATTATCTCCAGAATAATGCTCTGACTCTGTCCGTAACTTAATAACTAAAAACGGTTTTATATGGAGGAGGATTAGGGCCCCAAACGTGAGGATTATGCAGGGGAAAAATATTTTTTTCTGAAAATCTGATATTCTTTTCAGGATTCTGTTAATTTTTTTCTTAGAATTCCGACTTTTTCTTAGATTTCCAACTTTTTTTCTCAGAATTCCGAAATGTTTTCGTAGAATTCCGACTTTCTTAGATTTCCAACTTTTTTTCTTAGAATTCCGAATTTCTTAGAATTCCGAAATGTTTTCTTAAAATTCCGACTTTCTTAGATTTCCGACTTTTTTTCTCAGAATTCCGAATTTCTTAGAATTCCGAAATGTTTTCTTAGACTTCCAACTTTTCTTCTCGAAATTCCGACTTTTTTTTCTTAAAATTTCGACAAAACAAAACAAATCTCTTTTGGTCAGATCTCCCCGAAAATGTCACACGCGGCCCTCATCATCCTCCACCGTTTTATAATAATTGTATGGTGTAGGTATACCACTCAAGGGTCAATGCAACTTCTCTGAGGAACTTGAATTGTGAGCTTTTTGACTCGTAGCATATTGAATTTACGCAGGTGAATCACAGCCTGTAAAGACTAATTGGCACTCCTCTACATACTTCCTGTCTCTCGATTCCAGCCACCATCGTCACTTTAAAGGAATACTTCCATATTTGGTTTGGGGTCATTCAAAAATAAATACTTAATTTGGTTAAACTGGGAACACACATCTCCCTGCGCTTCAACTGAGAATACATTTCACTGAGAGAGAGTGAGGACATCTGTTTCGCCCACTCGTACAATTCCCTTTTTATGATTATATATATTAAAAATAACAACAAAAATAGTCTTTTCCACCAAGTCCAGGGTGCATCAACACCTCCACTCAGGAAGATGCTTCCAGCAGGGAAATCAATCACTTCAAAATCAAAGAAAAGGCAAAACACCGTCCTCCTGTCTCGATGCTGATGGAGGTTTGGCCACAAGGAGGTGCATGGCACTTTGTCATGAGGACGAAGGATGAAGTCTAATCAGAGTCTTTTTCCTCCTGTTCTCTCCTTCTTCACATAACGTGTCCATCTTTAATTCGCCTGTCCTTCTTCCTCTTCTTTGTGCTGCGTTCAGTCCATGTGGGGTTTCTCCACGCCGCCCTGAGGGGAGGCAGAAGAGTGTCAATAATACACTTTATTTATACATGCTTGACGCTGCCCAAAGAGTATGACAAAAAAAAATCACAATAAATTAGGAACATAATTCAAATATGTAAAAACATTAAGCTGTCTTTGGCTCTCTGCTGTAACAACGTACATGTCCCCTCTGTGGGACTAGTAAAGGCATTCTGAAAATACAACATGAACAGTGATACATCTAAACACGAGGCCAAATCAAAAAGATAGGTCTCAGAAAGCAGCCTCTCCAGTTTTCTTGTCAGGCAACTTTAGGTACTTTTAAAAGTGAAACATTGAAGGATCTAAGTAGAAGATTGCAGCAACACATATTCACCAAATCAAAGTAATGCAGAAGTTAAAGAGCTGGAATGAAGCGCTTCAATGTGAGCTGCTTCAGAGTCAGATTCATGGTGCTGAAGTGCTTTGGAGAGCGATGTCATAACTCAAACTGTTGATGTGTTCACGACCTCAGGTGACTCGTTTCCAAGAAATGAATCTGAGTAGTTTCACTTTCCTGTGAAGAGCTGCACCCTCTCTCAACAACCAGTAGCTTTTAAGCAAATAAGGACCAGTTGCTGCTTTTAAAAATATATTTTAAATGTCAGCACAGGAATATTTAGCTCTCAGTTCCTCCTTTTTTTGGAAGTGCTTATTCCTTCTTTTTGCAAAAGGGGAAGATGGGACTTCTTGCTCAACACGTTCTGCTTTCTGATGGCTCATTTAGTCAAATATCAAAGAGATATCATAAGAGACATATCCTGCCCTTTCAGGTATCGTTCTCGAGTGAGGGCCAAAGGCTCCAAAGCTGCTCAAATGAAGCCCCTCGTTGTGGTTTCACCTACAGTTATGAAATGTGCTATGTGTATGTAGCATGGTGAGACGAACAGAAAAGCCTCTTGGAGACATATCGAATAACGAACAGGAAGTCGGCTATTTTGAATTTTCTATGCAATGTTTCGCACTTACTCGTGCCACATCTGAACAAACTCATGCTGCAAAAAAGATCTGTAAGAAAAAGCCCCCAAAGTCTCGTGTTCTTCCTAAAATGCCCCTCTGGAACAAAAAGAGAGAGAAACCCATGAGTGCCGCCTTGTGCCAACATTCCTCCGGCCCGATCACAAACAAAAACAACGAGGAGCAAATGACCCTGTGGTCAGCCGAGTCCTGACTGCCAACACTGTGACACACAAACAGCTTTAATCTGCTTTCACGCTGCCACTCGAGTCAAACTGAGCGCTGACGGGACTTTACAGACAGAACGAGGTGAGGCTTCTGGGCACGAGCTTAATGGAGACATCAGAGCTGACTTGATGGGATGCTTATGAGAGAAGTGTTTTTAAAGGGCCCTGACGTGCTGCGGAAGTAGATTTATATATTTTTTGTGTGCAAACTTTTGTAAAATGTGATATTTGAAGTGTCTCGTTCTCGGGTGAGGGTCTTCAAAGTTGCTAAAATTGAGCCCCTCGTTGTGGTTTCACCTACAATGATGACATTTGGTATGTATAAGACATATCGTATATCCAACAGGAAGTTTAATTTTCTATGCAATTATTCGTACTTTACTTCTGGGCACGAGCTTAATGGAGACATCAGAGCTGACTTGACGGGATAATGGTGAGAGGGAGGGGGGAGGGGGGAGGGGGCGTCCAAGGCACTACTTTTTTGACAATGTTATCGTGGCGCAGCTTAGTAGATGCACATAAAGCGTGCAGAGGAGTTCTCTAATGCAAATCTGAAGCTGGTTGACGGCATGCTTTGTGGAGCTGTGGGATTATTCTGTTTGCTCAACATGCATTTCTATAATTAGCAACCCGCAAACACTTAAAACTATCAAAGTATTGTCTTAAACGTGCTTGTTTTTTTACATATATTATGCTTACCATCAACATAAGGCTCGTTACTTGTAATCTAGGATCTGGTATCGTCCTTTAAAATGAAAACTAATTGGAAATCAAAGTAGTTTACAGTTTGCTAAAGTACCTAGAAATGTTAAATACCTTAAAGATTTATGTTAGAAATGAACAATATGGATCCCCAGCACGTAGAAACTGCCGGATGCCAACTTGCATGTTGTGTTAATCAGCTTTAATAAGCCTATTTGTACAGTTGTTTGAAAACGGCATTCAAATCGATCCTCTCAAACTTCAAAATGGATTAAAAACAACCTCTCCGGGAGTTGAAATACGGCCACTGTCTGGTTCAATGTGTTATCGTGGTGCAGCGCGTGCAGAGGAGCTCTCTAATGCAAATCTGAAGCGGGTTGACGGCATGTTGTGTGCAGATGTGACACGCCAAACATGAGGTGTTTAACCTTCAAGTGTACTCTTTGCAAAATATGAAAAACATCCAGGTCAACAGTTTTGCATAATTGGAAAACTTCCCTTGAAAACCGCAGAAGTGGAACTGGTTTGGTCGCTGTTTTAAAGGACTAGCTCGCCCAAAGTGACAGTCCGACTGTCCTCCATTATCTCCAGAATAATGCTTTGACTTTCTCCATGACTTAACAATCTCCGTCTGAGTTGTACGGAGGAGGATCAGGGCTCCAAAAGTGAGGATTTAGCGAAAAATAATCCGTTTTTTTTCTGAAAATCTGAGATTCTTTTCAGTTTTCTGAATTTCTCCTCATCATAATTTAATTAAAATACCATATGTTGCCCTTAGATGATATTTTAAAGACCTGAGATGAACATAAGGACTGCACTTGATATCTTTAAGTGGAAATAAGCGGGCAAGATAAAACTTTAATGTGTATCTTTGATGCTTTTAAATTAGACTTACCATGGCGAGCTGGCGTCCGATGTTCCCCACGGTGACTCCGCCTGAGAAGAATATGCACGGGAGCCAGGAGCGCACATACAGGAAGTCCGGAGACGTGTATCTAAAAGAGAGGAAAAGCCCCAAAAATGTACAATTAATATCCATGAAGTAGAGATGTTTTGTTCAGCAGCTGTTAAAATAACTCCCATTGATAAGAAAGGCACCTCGAAGGACACCTATGAGTGGGAAAACCCATCATGCTAGAAACTATATTCATCATTCAGTTTCTATCTCGTAAAGTCAGCTGCGGTTTGAGCGTGTTATCGTGAACAGAAGTCTCTTTGCTCAGCTGTGTGTTTTTGATGAACTCAGGAGGGTTTGTTCATTTGGCTTCAGGAGAAACTTCCCAAAATAAACCTTCACCCATCCCGTCTGTTTGATGGATTCCTACAGGTGGGACAAGACTCTTCTCAGTCTCACAAGCTGTGTAATTAAAACTAAACCTACGTGGTTTGTGGTGTGAGAGCAACATGAAACCAGGAGTTAGGGATGACAGAGCACTGCTCCTTAATCCTCTGGCATTTGTTTCCTCAAAAGGGAACACTTGTCTGTCGTTTGCTTTCTATGTTTTCATATTTTTGTGTCTATTATGAGAATGTGTATACTTATCTCATTTGCTCTGTTTTTTAGTTTTTTTTTCTTGGGGGTGGGGGGATATACTTGATCTGCTTTTTGTCAGTCTGGTTGAAATGTGCACGGTTGCATCTACAGTATGTATTTGACTGCTCAATGACATTCTGTACGTGCATTGGGGTTAAAGTCCCCTACGTGCATTGGGGGTACAGATGGGGTCCAAAACTAGCAAGCCACATGGACGTCTGGGAAGAAATTAATTTGATATATATTGAAGTAACAAGTAACATGTTATGATATGCTACAGAAATATGGCCAGGATCCGTTGAATTTTCGGAATATTGGGTTGCAGATTAACATTTTCAAAAAGGGGGGTTCGTTTAGCATGAAACACTTGAAAGAACTAAATACGTTAAAAAAGAAAGTAGAAAGAAAGTGAGGTCAAAGAAAACTGTTTCTGCTAAAAAGTGAGCAATGATTGAGTCAGAGCTAAACATTTCAGATGTGTGTATCTCACTCTGCACCGTCTGTTTGATTATCTTTTAAATGAGTGTTTTTAAGTGCCATTTTATAATATGTTTCTTAATGTCTTTCCTTTTTGTAAAGCACTTTGAATTGACTTTCCCTCTTTGTGCACTGAACTCACTGGTAGACTCCGTTGTAGACGAGCAGCTGCGTGAACACGGTAGCGAGGACGGCGGTGGTGATGCCCAAACCGAAGCCGCTCCTGGACCGATCGAACGTCCACCAGAGACCCAGAGATAGAGCCGCCAGCGTGAGGGAGAGCTGCACGTTGTTGTCGAAGTCGAGCTTCTGTGGTGTCGGGAAGTTAAGGACAAAACCAAACAGTGTAACGCAAACACAGGATTAGATCTAACTCAAATATTTGTAGAGGCTAAGTTAGGGATCCTGCCAGTTTCCGGACCGGAGCACTGACGGAGTGAAAGACCTATTGATATCGGAAAGTTATTATTATATTTGCTAAAAGTAAATAGTGTTTTTAAAGGCCTTGCAAAAGTAGATTCTTTCTTTTTTGTGTGCAAACTTTTGAAAAATGTGATATTTTAAGTGACTCGTTCTCGGGTGTGGGCCAAAGAGTCTTCAAAGCTGCTCAAATGAAACCCCTCGTTGTGGTTTCACCTATTTCACCTACACCTATTTTTTTTGGAAGTGCTTATTCCTTCTTTTTGCAAAAGGGGAAGATGGGACTTCTTGCTCAACAGCTGCTGCTTTCTGATGGCTCATTTAGCCAAATATCAAAGAGATATCATAAGAGACATATCCTGCCCTTTCAGGTATCGTTCTCGGGCGTGGGCCAAAGAGTCTTCAAAGCTGCTCAAATGAAACCCCTCGTTGTGGTTTCACTACAATTATGAAATGTGCTATGTGTATGTAGCATGGTGAGACGAACAGAAAAGCCCCCTGGAGACATATCGTATAACGAACAGGAAGTCGGCTATTTTGAATTTTCTATGCAATGTTTCGCCCTAACTCGTGCCGCATTTGAACAAACTCTTTCTACAGATTACATCCGATAGACTTAACATTGAGTCAGTAACATCTTAAGACCTTGAGGATCAAAATGTGTGATGTGCAAGGGCTCATCCAAAGTGTTTGCAGCTTTAATAAACCTAAATAATTCTTAAATCAGGTAAATCATGACATCCTTTGGTTCCAAACTGTAGATAGAACAGTGCATATCCTCACATAACAGATCTGTAAAAAATAATCCACAGGCTCTGAAAGGATACAACACTGGCGTGGTTGATGCCCACGAACACTGCGATGCACCTCATGACGCTGGCCCACTCCCTCTTGAACTTGTGCGGCTCTCCCAGGTGTTTGTCGAGGCACGGATACAGCAGACCAACCACAGCTGTGCAGAGGAGAAAACAGACCAGTCACACACGATAAGCAGACAATCTGGAAAACGCCAGCTGGAAAATCCTGTCACAGAGCGGTGGGATTATTCTGTTTGCTGAACATGCACTTCCAAAATTAGCAATCGACTATAGATAGATATTATGTTAACCATCAACATAAGGCTCATTACTTATAACCTAAGATCTGGTATCGTTTTGCATTCCTTTAAAATGAAAACTTTAATTGGAAATAAATGTAGTTTAGAGTTTGCTTAAGTATATTTGGGAGCACTGTGAACCTGGAAATGTTAAATACCCTAAATATTTATGTTAGAAATGAACAGTACGGGTCCCCAGAACGTAAAAACTTCCGGATGCCAACTTGCATATGTTGTGTTCTTCAGCATTAAGAAGCCTATTTGTACAGTTGTTCGACAAATCGATCCAGCGTCAAAATCAACCACACTGGGAGTTTAAATATGGCCACTTTGATTAAATGTGCCATTTTGGATCCTGAAATTTCAGAAATGGATACAGCGTCCTCTAAAAACAACAAAATAACTTAAATATTGTACAAATCTGCTATTCTTTCATTTGAACTTTTGTACATAAAGGCTAATACTGCTAGTTAATGCTTATTGCCCAACAGATTCAAGTTTTCTAATTGCTGGGGAGAGCATACTTTACATTTCAAGTAGCCTACAAAACCTTTCCTGGTTCACATCAGGACCTATGAGCCACTGAAAGTTTACACAATGAAAACGAGTCCCTACATGATATGAGATATTTATTGGCACTCAGTAATGTCAACAATCTGTAAAAGCCACACATCTCTTTCATGTGTTTCTGCCCTGCAGCACATGGAGGAGGAGGAGGAGGATGTTTTTTTACTTCTTTCTCCCCCCCACTTCCTGGTTCCTATTCTTAAAAGGTACCGCCCCCTTTCAGCTCACCCGTTATGACACTAGCCAATCAGCGCGCAGGTCGTATAGTATCCGGCAGCTGCGGCCAATCAGAGTGCGAGAAAGTCAACCCACTGGCAGAAGATGACCACGAAGACTAGTATAGCATTAGACAGGAAGGCTTGTATAATTGCCAACAATAACAAAGCCGAATGATGATTCATGACCACATGATCATACAGTAAAGTGATATAAAAAGGGAAAATAAAAGGAGAACAGTTTAATATGTACAATTGTTTAAAATGGCACTATTTTACGCGTAAATTTGGTGAGGCATGTGCGTAAACGTTACATTTCCAGACTTTTGGCACCCATAAATTCATGTTACTAGTATTATTTTCGGCCTTTACAAAGAAAAGGCTACTTCCCCTCTTTGTCTGAAACTAAGCAGCCAACTCAAATTGCTCTGCACAGATATTTTAAACAAACTAGCTTCCATTTTTCTCCAACAAACAGTGTGTTTAACTCACCGGCCCCTGTGCCGCAGCACGGAGGGATCCACCAGGCAGACGAAAACAAAGTTGCCATCACCTCCTCGGGAAACAAGGTGACATTTCTCTGAATCTGCAGCAAGTTGAGCACCAGGGCCAGGAAAGCCCCCACGGTGAAGAGCACGAGACCCCTGCGGATCAGATTGGCCGTGCGCACATCGTGCAGAGACCCGTACGCGTTGCTGAGCACAGAGGTGATTATGGACATCATTTCTTCAGCTTTGGATGCTAACCAGTGAGCTCCGGATGAGTGTTTAGTCTCAACACTTGATGCACAGGAGCAGCTCCAACAGTGGTCCTCTAATCTGGGCATTTGGCACTTTAAGGCTGAAGAAGAAGTGGATATATTTAGATCACAAGTGGAGAGAAAGAGAGGACACAGTGTTGCAGAATGGAAACGGTGTTCTGTTACAATAAGTTGAAAAAGCTGGTGTTTACCTTGATCTGGAGACGTCTTGTTCTGTGCGTAAAGACTCAAATCTCGTTCACATCATCGTTAGAGGAGAAAACAAACAGCTCTGCTCCATTCCACAGCACACAGCTCATAGCAGGCACAGGAGCTTCCACTGCACAAAACAATCACAGCTGTGTCGGGTGAGAATCGGCAGCCAATCAGAGCGCGGCGGGTGATATGACGTAGCGCCACTCCACCGCCCCCTCGTGCAGGACAGACGCACAAGCTCCAGTCTGCAGAGCAAGTGAAAGTGGAAACAGAGAAGTATTTAAATGTCAGCCAAAACACACCAGAGTCTGGATCAGAATCAGGTGTATGGCCAAGAAGGTTATTCATACGACTAGTTGGCTTATGATGTAAGTAAATAAACACAGATAAAGAAGATACATTATGAGAAAACGACCAAAAAAAATACAACTATTATGAAAAACTATTAAAAAAAACATTAAAATATACAGAAATATAGATAAATATAGATAAATGCTAGGAATAATATCATGAAATATAATCTGTGCAGTATTGGTATTACAATCATAAAACTGTGCAGATATTAGGAGGTATCTTTGTCTACAAATATGCAAAAATATTCAGAGGGTTGTGCAGGACTGACATGAAACACAAACTATGAAGAGCATTTGAACAGCTGCAATAAAAAGCAGTGATATTGTTTACAAAATGAGATGTTATACGAGCTAATAGACAATAAAGGTCACCCAATAAATCATGATAAAGTCAGTGCTGAGTTAATATAAGCTAAGATAAGATATTCTTTTGTTGATCCTAGTAAGGGAAATTCCTTTGTCACAGCAGCATGTAAACAAGCATTGCACATGAATTAAACATTAAATAAAATACAAAATAACAGCAAATATATATGTATACAGTAATACATTAACAAAACAGAACAGTATGTACATCTCAACAGTGTCAGATGTATCTCTATTGAATATACAATATTAATACACAGATTTGAAGTCAGTGTAGTTTGATATTATTTGCTATTAGTTAATAAGTACAGTTTGGAAAAGACCCCCTTTTAGATGTTTTTATAATTGTTTGTTTACCACTTCCTGTCTGATACTCTCCCAGATATTTTCCAAATAAAGGTTACACAAACTACTTCCCCTCTCCTGGGAACAGGGGTTCGTTGTGGCACATTTAGTTTTGTCTGTTGTTGATGAAAAGTGGTTGAACTCGGGGTCATGTTAAAGGAGGTGTGGCTGGAAAAGGAGGAGTGTGCATGAAGCCAAACGGCACGTAAGTGAGAGATAACGTGAGGGGGAACGGTTCAGTGCCCGAATGACACCATTCTCCAAGGGCCGACGACAACAAGGAACATGTTGTGCAAGAGGCCGTGTGACCTAGCCGGGTGGGCCGAGTGATAACAAACCTCCATGGCATACGTGAGGCAGAAAGCATACATCCATAGGTGCAGGGGTTGTTTTCTACTGAGCCTGAGGACATGCATACACTTTCTTTTGCAGGACACATCTGAGACAAATGGAAAAATACAGTTATTTCAATTTAATGATAAAAAAATGACAGACTAGCTGCTGGCACTGTGTTCAAATTAATACCATGGATGAATCATCTTTTTTTTCATGCAAATAAGCTTGAAAATTAAGCGACGCCTCATGACCTACAGCAAATTTGCAAAACAAAAACAGAAAGCATGTCAATCAGATAGCATTTACTTTCAATTAAGCTAAATTGGTGTAATTATGCCGCCAATGTTTAGGGTATTAAATTCATTTTTGTGTTGTTTTTTAAATGACGTGCGTGTTAAAATGAGGGGACTATGTTTCTAGTTGTCACCCAGTTTTCAGCTTTAATAGAAACAGCTGAATTCACCCTGTTGTTTGTATGGCTGCTTCGACATGTGGAGGAAAACGATGCCCAATTACTGGGAATATTGTCAGAGAAAACCAGCTGTAACTATGTAAATACATTTCAGGCACAACAGATCCTTTTTTCCAGCAGCAGTGCTTTGGTCTAGGCTGAAATACCTCAGCAAATATTCCATGCATTGCTGTGAAATGTTGCACAGACATTCATGGGTATCCTAAACACTGCCTTCCTCTCCAGTCTGCAGGAGTTTATAACACAGCAGGCCAGTCCATAGCTGAGTGCAGGAGAGAGAAGACTCTTCTTTACTAAACAAATGCTGGCTTCTTCAAACCACCCCTCAAGTTTTAGGGGAATAGTACAGTCCAATTAGCCAGATACATTTACAGGTATTGCTCACCAGCTCAGATGTTTGCCAGCCAATGCCAGGATCAAGGTGAGCTTCAAGACACTGACACAACACACATTAACAATCACTAAACAAAATGATAACCTTCTCAATCCCCCAGAAATAGCACCAAAGTTGTGCTTTTAAGGGAATATCTCTGGACTGTACTAAACACTTTCTATTTGGTGCTAAAAGCAACGGATAGCATGTTGACAGGCCTTACTGAGACCTGCTTAGCATAATAATAATGCATGTATTTATATAGCGCTTTTCCTGGTGCTCAGAGCGCTTTACAAGCAAGTAAGAAAAAAAAAACAACAAAGTAAAAAGTGCTAAGCTAGGTGGAATAGGAGTTGAAGGCAAGAGTGAAAAGGTGAGTTTTTAGGGCTTTTTTTAATAAAAATGATTCTGATTTTTGAGCATGTTGTCTTTGTGAGCATGTAGGCAAGCTGATGTTAGCATTTAGCTGAAAGTACTGCTGTGTCTAAAGTCAATAAAGCTCCTAGCCTGAATTCACACTTTACATTCAAACATCATAGCTGCTTAGCATGTTAGCATTATCTTTTTGAGCCTGTTAGCACAGTGTTTTTAAAAGTGAGGGCCCCGACCCCCCGGGGGGGCACCAGGGGGGTCACGCAAAGTTTGAAGGAAAAGGGATTTTTAAATTTTTTTTTAAAGTTACATTTTTTTTTCAGCTTTTGGAGCAAGTGAGAGCGAGTGAATGTTTCGCTCTGCAGCTGGATGAGAGCACGGATGTAGCAAATGTAGCAGAATTGCTTGCATACATCAGATTTATTTCAGAAGACAACTTTGTTGAGGAAATATTATTTTGCAAAGCACTGGAAGGTAGGACCACATGAAGAGACATTTTCGAGTTTTAGATGAGTACATCATCTCAAATGGACTTGACTGGTCTCGTTGTGTGGGTGTGTGTTCAGATGGGGCAGTGGGGCTATGACAGGCAAAGAAAGCGGAGTGACAGCTTTGATCAGGCAGAAGGCCCCAAATGTAGTGGCAACACATTGCCTGCTCCATCGTGAGGCACTTGTACACATCATTTAAAAAAAAAATTGCAACAGGGGGGTCCCCGCCAGAGGATAATGCTATATGGAGGTCCTTGGCATGGCAAAGTTTGGGAACCCAATCACACTGAAATTAACATTTAGCTGAAAGTACTGCTGTGTCTGAAGTGTCCCAAGCTACTAGCATGAATTCAGACTTGTACTTCCAAAAGCTGATGTCAAATACAGGGTAGCAGAGGCTACTTTATTCCAGAGACTTATATAAAGTTATTAACCATGTCATCACACAATTTAGAAGATAGCCGAGCTGTTTTAGTCCCACATGAGCAGTTTCTGAATGAGTTTCTGAATGTTTCACATGGATATACGGTTCATCTTTGGCATTACAGTTTGCAGACGGCGCCTTCAGACAGGCCGAGTTTAAATTGGTTTCACTTGAATTGAATGAGAAAGTGGCATTTCTAAAATGGCAGTAATATCAGAATGGTTAAATATAAATGTCACAGCTGCACTCCACTGGAGCGGTTTCACTATTTTGTACCAAACAAGTCAAGCATGAAAGAATATCGACGGGTTGAAAAGTTTGCATTTGTCCCCCTGTCTCTTTTCTGAGTGCAACAAATACAGCATGTCTTATTGGATGAGAGGACATTCTGCTTTTCAACCATCTGAATAGGTTTTCTTCCTCTCTCATTTCATAGCTCTTTATCAAAGACACTTTAATATACATGCTCAGTCGTGTCCTCTGTGGTCCTAAACCAACATACAGAGACATTCACTTTGCTGCAGTGCATGGATAACGACATCAGTCATATTCACTCTATCCTAATTTTACTGGTCCATGTGGTTAACTCAGATAAATCGCCAGAGCTTCACAGTTTCACAAAGGGGGAAAGGAGGTCAAAATGAAAAGTGTGCTCTCACCAAGGCCCCAAAAATCCAGCACAAGGGACAAATGGGTGAGCTAATACATTTCCCAAATTAATAGGTTGCTTTTTATTTGAATCAGTGAGTGTGTAATCTTAATCTAAGAAAGGTGTATTGTTGGATATGTATTACCCAGTGGTGGAAAGTATAAGAACGGTACTTGAGCACATTATTGAGGTACATGGACTTTACTTGAGTATTTTCATTTAGTTCTACTTCTACATTTTTGCTGCAAATATTGCACTTTTTATACTAGATTCATTTGAAAACATTAGGGACTTTTGCACTCTGCAAATATGGGATTTTATCATTTGCAGACCATTTACATGCACATAAACCTATAGAATACACTACAGGATAGGGATAACAACAAGACACAGAATAGGGCCTCTTTAATGTTATTACATCCGGCAATATTAAAGTGATAGACGCAGAAATGCATCACTAATTATAATCCAGTGACAAAATACATATTATTCTGAAAAAGGCCACTTTGGATATTAAGATTTGGTACATTTTTTGTGTTTACTTGTAACAGAGTATTTCCCTGTTACTTTCACTGGTGTTACCTGAGACAGCTTCCACACAACACAAATGTATTATATTAATTAATGGCGGTGGTGGCGAAGTCCATAGGAACTTGGCTTGGCAACTGGAAGGTCACCAGTTCAAGTCCCGGAAAGACAGAGTACCGGGGTGTCCCTGAGCAAGGCAGCGTTCCCTACACTGCTCCCTGAGCGCCGTACATAATGGCAGCCCACTGCCCCTAACACTAGGATGGGTCAAATGCAGAGAAACCGTTTTGTTACATAGAACCTGTACAACGTAATGACAATAAGCTCAATCTTCTTCTTCTAATGACAGAAAGAAAAGGTTAAAAGTAAATATTGTGGGATCCTGCAGGAATAAAGAGCCTAACATAGCTAGCTTAGTTTAGCTAGATGTGCATTAATGTGTAAA